TTCCCTATTGCTACCAACCAGCCCTCTTCTACCACTTCCTTTGGAAGAATCAATACTTGAAACCTAGAAACAAATTACGTAGGCAAGAATATGTATACTTGTTGTTGGGCAACTCATTATGTCATAACAGCGGAGCCACAGCTTTGAATTTTGTTTAGATGGGAAGATAATACACGATTTTTAAGGTGGTTAAGATTTTATAAATTTATCATTTAAGTTGGGAGAATAGTCTTGATAATTACAAAAATGAGTCAAAGATGACTTAAAAAAAACCTCCCTAATTTCTCTATAGACGGTAACTGGCAGTTCAGTTAGACTCTCTTAGAAATGTATTCTCTCCGCCCTTTAGGTTTGCAGCTTAATTTGTTTTACTGAATAAATAAATACTGGTTAGTAGAGATATTCATGTCTATTGGAAAGGCTCATCTAACCTGTTGTTTTTCTTCCAAAAGTGGGAGTATAAAAGTGATTTTATTTTTTTAAATCTGTTGGACTTTTCTAATAATTCCAAATTATAAAGTATATGACTTTTGTCTTGATATTTTTACCCCTAATTCTTTGGAATGCTTGTGGCTGTAGAGCTCTTCAGACATATGGCTAAATGATGTGTGGGTGACTGGGGCTCAACAATGGCTTTTCTCCTTTATAGCTAAAATCATAGAATTGTTTAATTTGGAGAAGACCTTTAAGATCATCAAGTCCAACCGTTAACCTAGCACTGCCAAGGCCACCACTAAACCATGTCCCTAAGTACCACATTGACACGTCTTTTAAATACCTCCAGGGATGGTGACTCAACCCCTTCCCTGGGCAGCCTGTTCCAATGCCCGACAACCCTTTCGGTGAAGAAATTTTCCCTAATATCCAATCTAAACTTCCCCTGGTGCAACTTGAGGCCGTTTCCTCTTGTCCTATCGCTTGTTACTTGGGAGAAGAGACCGACCCCCACCTGGCTACAACCTCCTTTCAGGTGGTTGTAGAGAGCAATAAGGTCTCCCCTCAGCCTCCTTTTCTCCAGGCTGAACAACCCCAGTTCCCTCAGCCGCTCCTCATCAGGCTTGTGCTCTAGACCCTTCACCAGATTCATTGCCCTTCTTTGAACATGCTCCATCAAATAATAAGATCATCTAATAGAGAAGATTGCTTCCATTATTTATTATTGTAATATTTCATTTCTGTCTCACCAGTCTGTGTCATATAGGAAAGCTACTGGTAACAGTATTTTTTTTTAGGAGGTAAGTATCACCCGACGATGTAACATGCTAATCTTCGCACATCACATAATTTAGGAAACAGTTTAAAATTTACAGCAGTGCCTTGTAACTCTAAGTGACTGATGACAATATATATGTATATTTATTAATAACAACATGTTTTTCTCAGTACTGTGCATTGACAGAGAAGTGTTGGATAGAATGAATTGCCCTCCATTATGTATCATAAATCCCACAAATCATGTACTGCATCTTCTGCTTGCTTGTTCTGAGAATGCATTGCGTGCTCCTTACCACATTCTTCCTTGTTTTCATGATACCCATTTAACGTTTTCTGCTCTCTGTAGCATTGCTGGGAGGATGGAGGGCGAGAGATCAGCCTGGTAGATGCAGCATGCCAGCAAACAACTAGCAGTTAGTCTGTTTTTGCAACACAAGGCCTGTTTTGTTCTCTCCCTTCCTCCCCGTGCCCTCCCGCGCCCACTCCCTGGGTTGCTCAGAGAGTATTTATCTCCAGCAAGTCCAGAGCTGGACAGGATGGAAGCTCACAACCATATTATATATACCACAGATCAAAATCACACTGTCAAAACACAAAAATACCTCAATAATTTTCTTTTTAATTTTAACTGTCAGCCTCGAGATACCACTTGCTCTCGAGCTGCTATGCATAATGTGTGCTAGCTCGCTTCTACTTATACTCTTGTTAAAATGTAAAGCAACAAATTTCCTGGCAGTCTCTGCAAAAGAGTGTAATACAACTTTCATTACAAGAAGGTGATGAACATAATGTGACTTCTTAACAGCTGCAATAAGTGATGTGAAGCTATTAACATCTTTTCAAAACAAGTAACAAGTGAGAGGTTATTTTTCATCTCTATTACTAAAAAAGGCATGTTATTTTAAGCAGCTAAGTGCAAACGAAATGTTATCTGAACTAAGTAAATTTTTACATGAATTCTCTAGCTCTGTATTGCTTTGTGAAATTAAGAAAACTTTAAAAACTAATGCTAAAATACACTCTAATGGCTGCATTTCAAAATGAAAATTTGGATGTTAAATTTTCTGCATGGAAATGATGGCTGCTAACAAGGGATTTTAGTTCATCCTTATCCTTTTCCCTTTAGATTTATGATTCCGTGAGAGTTGCCTATTCCATTGTTTATTTTTGTGTCAAACTATTTGGTTCTCATTTGAGTATTCTCAAAAGGTGAGATAGGTCCGATGCTTTTGAATTGCTTACTAGGGAACCAAGTTCTTTGGAGATAGGTGACCCATTACAAATACAAATGGGAGATCAAGGAAAAAGAATTGAGACCGTCGGTGTTGAGGTGCAGGCAACAGTCAGTCTATTAGTAGACTGAACAGAAAGGTTCTAAATTCAGTAGTCAACATTAATAATTGAAGCCTTAATAAGTGACTTTTTTTTGAAGTGTAGCTTAAAGTCCAAAAGGACAAATGCTGTCTGGCTTACTTATTTTGGCAGCTGTACTGGAGTTTCCGTTGTAGTGTGATTAGCATCGTTTTCACGGAAGTCAGTAGCTTAAGGTCATAACCATAGAACGAGGCTGTAGCAAAGAGCGGCACTGTTTTTCCTATGCATCTATCTTGACAATTATGATATACCATATTAAAAACAAGGTTGACATTGTCTCTAGTTGAATGAATTCTTTAACACGCTATGAGAGGCTGTCAACTTGGAGATAGGAAGTGATTACGGTATTTCATAAATATTGCCCCAAATAGATGACAAAATACGCAGAGTTTTTGTAACGTACACTCTTGCTGAATAAAGGCAGAGCTGGAGTAGCCAGTCTAAGATCCTAATTTGAAGGGTAGGCATCGGTAAAGCACCTCAGTTCTACAAACTTTCCAGAGATATTTCTCAGATCTTTTGCATAGATTATTATGTTGTATTTTGCAACTGTATGATCACTACATACAAAAGTAATTAGTTAACTTTTTTGTTTTCTGAAGGATGTAACAAGATTTTTTTTTTTTCATGTGATTTACTCCTGCGAACATAAATCAGGCTATTGTCTTCAAGAGTGGAAGGTTTGGAACCAAAAATACAATCTGGAAGTGAAACATTTTTCAGCTGCAAGTAATATTAATAGTAATTGCCACTTAGTGGTCTTTCAGTTGGTAGAAACAAACCATCAAAATGATAATTGTAGGATTCATTGGGATTTAGATTGATTAACAAACTAGACAACCAAGTGGGCAGCATACATTGAGCCAGAACTCTGGCTCATGTGAAGTCAGCAGCACTTATCTGGAATCAGTGGAGCAAAGCCCATTTTACTCCATTTGCCCAAAGAATAAACATATGCCATGTCAGAAATAGAACCATTGGAAACAATTGCTGCATGGGATGATGACGAAAAATAGCTGGAGAAAGATATGGGGGTGATTAGACTTCTTTAAAGCCAGACGGCTGAACTTAAGGATGTAAATGAGGCCAGCCTGGCATTATGGTGGAATCATCCTTGTATGCTGCAATGACATGAAGGTGCATTTGATAACATCTTTTCAGCTCTCTTCATTAGGTGAAAGAAATTCATATACATTTTAAATGGGAAAAAGAACTGTTAAAGATGCCTCGTGGAATGAGCTGTTTAGAAAAATTGAGGTAACAATTTGGTTTCTGCTGAAGTTGAGGAAATTCAGTGTTTGCAATTGCCAATCAATTGAAATCTATTTTATTCTTTAGAAGTGTCCTTTGAAATAGTGTATTTTTAGGTGTTGGAAATGCAAAATTTAAAGTGTTCGGGGAATGTATTATCTGTAAAGAAATTGTGAATTAGTTTTGAGTTGTTTCATTATAATCTCCCGACTTATTGCTTGATGGTATGGTGTTTATTTCAAGATTTTTACAATCTCAAATCTAGATTGTTCTGTCTTGTTGAAATGTGGACCAATTTTGAAATATCTGAACTAAGCTCAACATTAAGAAAGAACCTGTAGTGAGGGTGAAAAGCTAAAATACCCGCTTCTCAAAGTAAGCGCACTGAAGCAAATTCTTCTTTTTGTGTGGTTTGGGGGGACATGTATGACCTATGCTGTGTGACACAACCTATAGCCTTGGTCATGTGACCTAATTAAATTAAAATAAGCTTTCCTTATCTCAAAGAAAAAGTTCTTTCAGATCATTCATAAATTTTAAATGGGAGTCATATTGTAATCAGGAGCTAATTTTCTTTTCCCATTATCTCCTGCCATTCTGTGATATGAGAACACTTTGTTCTCTACAACAATCTTCACTCAGAGCTTTGGCTTCTCACAGAAGTAGTTAACTAGGAAAGACATTGGGTCTTCGTAGACATCTTCACCAAGGCATGCAGGTGAAGAAATCCCATACCCCAGGATGGGTTTCATTCCAGCTTAACGTTCCTCATTTATGCCTCCTGCTCTTGCCTGAATGCACATTGACAGTGCCTGTTACAGACACGGATTGAGATTCAGGAAATGTGGCTTCATGGAATTGTTCATCCCACACTATATTTTAACGCTGTGGACTGTCTTAAACATTAAAAAATTATCATTGTGTAGAGTCTTTTGATTTTTAAATGTGCATGCTTATCTCCTCTTTAATTATATTGTTTACTTGACGTCTGCCTTTCTTGTGTGTCTTTATTTAACATTAGGTTCTGCTTTCTTTCGTCGACTTACAGGTGAAATATTTGACTATAAGTTTTATTTCCTCTGTAATTATATTTGTTACAACAGAAAAAAAACCCAAAACCCCTATGTCATTCTAACTGTTGGTTTCCCTTTTCTTACTAGTTTGCTGTTTTGTGGTTCATAAGAGATGCCATGAGTTTGTTACCTTCTCTTGTCCTGGGGCTGACAAGGGACCTGACACGGATGTAAGTACATTGGTATTTAATATGTTGCTTTTACACATAGTTTTATATTGTTACACCTAACTGTGAGAATGCATTACAAACAATATCAGTAGGCCCTTTATGACAGATGATTGTAGCCCTAGTGGTTTCAATAGTTCTGAAGTGAATATTTTATGGACTTTAAAGATCTATTTTTGGTAAGAAAAGTAACCGTGAACATGTGACCAAGATCAATACCCCTCAGAATGTGACAGCCCTGAGGTGTTTACCCAAGCATGAAGTCAGCTTTTTATTTTTGTTTGCTTTATGCTGGATGTATTTGATACCAACAATTCCTACGAAAGGCTGAGGCTTTTTCTGAGCTTTCTTTGTTATCCCTCTTATCTCAAGGTGTAATTTCAGAGTTGACTCTGGTCCTTGTCCTGTCTATACACAAGGATCTATAGCTCCATTGAGATGACAGTTTAATCTTGAGCCAGCTGGCTTATCTGAGATAGGTTTTCGAAACAATTACATCCATGCTTGAGCTAGTATACCAGTCAGGATACACCCAGTCTATCTTGCTCTGTCAATACTTCTATGTACACATAGCATTTTTGGTCAACAGCTAGTTTTTACTTCCAACACATCTGCCTACATGGTGAGACACATGTACAAGAACTTTGTGTCACCCTGCTGAAATAATAAACCAATATTGTTTGTTCACATAAAAATAACATTTCTTCGGGTTTTATAAATTCCACTTTACGGTGAAGTAATTTAACATCTGCTTATGGGAACAATACATTCCAAGTGTTCTTTGTCTGAATGGCTCTGTTTTGTTTCTTATAACATATTCATGCTCTAGATTGTAGGCTATTATCTCCTCTGATGAAATGCACCAGAAGACTTTTCTTGCTAGGTTTTAATGAGTTTCTCATGAATTGTTTTAATATGCTAGCCATGAGATCAATGAACAATATATGGGCAGAAGCTGCAAGGGGTTTTGGAAAATTTGAGATGTTAAAAAGTTTTCTTATTTTTAAATTTAAATACACGGAAATGTCAAAGAACTTGTCAATGAGGAGAATTTTAAAAACAGTTTATTTTTTAAATATTTCACATAATCTAAACTTAGGTACCTAAGAAAAATGCTGAAGTTAGGAGTGTAGTCACCCTATTCAGTTTCTCCTGTTTAGCTGATAGAGATAGTCACTTCCAGAGAGCAAACCAGATCTTAGGTGACCTCAGTCATACCTGTGGTTAGTCTTTCTCCACTGGTCATAGAGAGAGTTAGGTGGGGGTGAGATCTGACAGTCTTGTGGCAGCACACTGAAGTTGGTGGCAGAAACACATCTGTCCGTCTCTTCTCTTCCTAACTTTCCCCCTGTCCCCTCCCCACTTACTGAGCAGTGACCCTCTCGTGAGTCTGCTCCTGAGCAGTACCTTTCCCCAGGGATCACCTAGCTTCAGTTACTACTACTTTGGCAACTGCTTACAACGGAAGAAGCTTCACAGTACTTGAAATATCATTGCTTAAAATCAACTGAATGATATTAAAAATATGATTGTAACTGCAGCCTTTCTTTTCACCTTTCCATCTTTTTCCATACTCAGTTCTGGTAACTCATTAAACGCTCCATTATTTCATTTGTATCTATCTACAGCTGTCTTTTTCTTCCTATTCACTCTTTTGCACTTAGCTCCTCATCTCAAATTTTCTTCATCTTCCATCAGTCCTGGTTACTTGTTGCCAGTTAAGAGCTGTGATGCCCCAAAAGAGCACTGCTCCAACAGTGAGGTTCAGAGTATCTAAGCTAAAGGCGCTGGTATGTATGGATGCAACCAGCAGAAGTTAAGGACATCCATAGATCAAGCCAGGGAGTAAGATTCAAGAAGTCAGGGTTCAAGCACGGAGGAGTTACATTGATTACCTGTACAAAGAGCATGGATCTTGCCAAAGGTTCCTTAAGAATGTTGAATGGGACCAGGACATAGGAAATGCCAGTGAAGCCGCGATGCGTTCCTCAGGAGTTTTGAAAGTTATTCAGGGCTGTACATAAAGCATCTCTTTCCACTTAGCATAGAGCCCAGCTTTCTTGAAGAAAGTCACTTAACTGAGCCGAAGTCAATTTTTATGACAGAAGTCAGAGGAAGAGACTTTTGACAATGATGTCAGAGCGCTCACTTAGAAGCCAATGCAGAGGCTTACAGGCATTCACAGAGCCTCTCTAACGCAGGAAGGAAGCCAGTCCTCAGTCTGGCTTTGCTCATAGTGTTCCTTAGTGCATATTATCAAAGGAGACTCTACTATTAAAAGAATCATGAAGGCAGGAACAAGAAACCAAAATTATTCTTCATATCCTTTTCTGAAAGTTCTTGAATTCTTTAAGCTTTGAAGGGAAGTGTGGAGATTGGCTCTGTCTATCTATATAGTGTTACAGTTAAAGCGGTATTTTGGAATTTGGAAGTTGGGGATTTGAAGTGCCTTGAGCTACAGAAAGGCTAAAATCCAGGTCTCCCCTGTCCGGGTGAGTGTTCTTGTCACTAAACTAGCATGCAGAAGGTAGATGGCAACACCTACTCTCTCCCCATCTCCTGTCTCTAAAAGAAAGTAGCCGTAGCTGCTACTTTTTGTTGCTGTCCAGATGACTTTAGGTATAGTCGTCCCATTTGCATCCCACTGGATGGCATTCGGGTGATTCTCTGAATTCTGTAATTCCCCATACACCTTCTGTATTGTGTACGTGGGCAGTGCCAGTACCGACGTTGCACTGTGCTGTCTGCTACGGGACCTGCTTTCCTAGAAACTCTTACCTGCAGTTTGTTAGGCAACAGTTTACATCTCAGGTGAGTGACTGTTATTACCAAACTGAGTAAAGTCACCACTACCAGGTATAAGCCGGGGTAGGCACTAGTGCCAGATTCATCCTGATGCGTGTGTCTGTAGCTGTTTCAGCAGCCGTCAGGCTGGGTGAAATGCAGCTTCACTGATGTCAATGGTAAAATACCTGCTGAGCATCAAAGGGGCCAGAATTTCAGCAACAGTCCAAACAATTAAACAACGTGTTGAATCACTCATTCTCTAAATATAGTTCATACCTACAAGCAATACATTGCTGATTTGCTTTGGTCGGTCCTAAAACACAAGTAGAATAAAATAATTAAATCTAGTTTTATCTTAGTGCTTGGTTGTGATATAAGATGTTAATGAAAGTTATTGTTGATTGACAGTTTTAGTGGTGACACTCATGAGTAGGTCTTCTGTATCTATAATGAATGGTTTGACTCTTGAAAGTGTTCTTGATTTTTTTTTTTTTTTTAAAACATGGGACCTTCAGGGTTTTTCTCCTAAAGTTCATAAATGAGAACACACGTTTGTGTGTGAGACCATTTAATTTTATTGATAATCTCTTCGTGGTTATAGAATCTGTTATGTGGCAGGTTGTTAATAGTCTTTAATATTGCTGACTGCATTTTGTGATTTGTTTTTTTTGGCCTTGGTGATTAAATAAATCAGCCTAATGCCTTGTTTTAGTATTTGGGTTACCAAATCATCATTTTCAATATTTACACAGAAGCGATATCTCAGAAACACTTTGAAGATTAAAAGCAAACAGAAAATAAATAGTTTTATTAAAATTGTGCTACATTAGTGGGTCCTATTACACAAAGAGGATTGTAGAATGTTATACTTTATAATCAAACATTTCAGTAAATTAATGTCTACCCTTTTATAATTCAGTAACTTATTCCTATCCGAATTAGTTCAAGCTTCATTCTGAAACGTAGTGTGCTATAAAGCTTATCATAATATTTAGCAGATTTTTAAATATTAAAAAGTTCTTTTCTAAATTATTTCATGCAGGTGCACAATTAATTTGCATACTCATTCTCCAGTGTCTTTGCATGATGTAGCCTTTCCATTAATTGTAAGAGTAATGTTGTCATTAATAAAATGAAAATTTCTAGAGCAATAATTATAAATTATAATAATTATATATTGTAATATTATTTATTACATAGTATAACAATTTTAAATCATCATGTACTGTCCTCTTAGCATAAATGAGGCTATCCTTACAAATACATCATTAGAATAATTATCGGTTAAATTTGCTTTACTTAATAAGGAGGATCCAAAGTCTAACAGCCAGATAGGTGCCCTGCAATGGGTCGTAGTCAAGGTTAGAATGCAAAACACTTCAATATACAAAACATTTCCCACTCAGAAACAAAACTGCCTTTAACAGCCGAGGGAGGCGTTGCTTGCAGGCAGCTCTTGCAGGTAAGCGTTCACAAACGTCCCTGCTGAGGCCTGAGGTATCTAGGACACGATGGCAAGGACTTATTTATAGATTTGTCTTGAGGCAAGATAGGATGGCATTCACACTACATGCCTCCAGGGATATGGAGGGTTCCTGAGCAGTGGGGTTTATTAGTCGGTTAGGAAGACTCCAAAGCGGAGAAAAGCCATCATTTTTAGAAACTTCATTCTGACTTTCATGAAGGCTAAATGTCTACCTGTGGCTAACGGGTGAGGTCGAAGTATATCTTTAAAATAATGCTCTTTTGAAAGAGAGAATTTAAGTACTTTAAAAATACATCGCGTACAGAGAGATTTCTATCATGTAGTTATTGTCAGAGCTCTTTGGAACATTTTTTGGCTGCAGCAATCCCCTGCAGAAAGGGGGAGCTCCACTGACAATTTTAGTACTTTCTCTAAGTATATTTAACAGTTGCAACAAAAGTTATTTTTTAATTTCTAGATATTTAAATACAGTTAAAGCAACAAAAGAGATTTCAGACTATACTATCCACAGGTCTTTCCTTATTTCCTAGCCTTTCTTTCTTACATGCCATATAGCTAAATATTTAATAAAATTTGACTACTCAGCTGCATAAAAGTCCCGTGGTCTGTATCATGCTAAAAATAGTGGTTTACAAATATTGTCTCCTCATGTAACGTTTTTATTTGCTACAGTATTCTATTGCTGTAAAAGAGGGAATAAATTATTTTTATTACTTTAAAATTAAATGCC